TGGTGGGAGAGGTCCAGGTTGGATATTAGGAAAAACTATTTCCCTAGGAGGGTGGTGAAGCACTGGAATGGGTTCCCTAGGGAAGTAGTGGAGTCTCCATCCCTAGAGGTGTTTAAGTCTCGGCTTGACAAAGCCCTGGCCGGGTTGATTTAGTTGGGCTTGGTCCTGCCTAGAGCAGGGGGCTGGACTTGATGACCTTCTGAGGTCTCTTCCAGCTCTATGGTTCTATGATTCTATGATATCATTTGGTAATGAAGATATGGCCCCTTCCTGCCTGCTCCTGCATCAATTAACACCACACAGTCCCCAACCTCACAAGCATCTTCCTCTCCATAGAAATCTCTGCTGCAATCTCCTCTTTTTAGTTTATTTTTCTACAGAAATATTATTCTCAGCCAGTGTCCACTGTTGATTTCGGAGCAGTATCGGGCTCTTCATGTCCTTGGTTTTAAAAACACAACAAATGCAATTTGGTAAAGAAACGGAGAGGGGATCCTTTTACCGAGTCATCACAAATTAACTTAATTGTATTAAAGACGCTGGCATGTAATGGCACCTAACGTGGAGTGTGGTGAAGTTTGCTTTCTTCCCAGCCATGAATCAATGGAAAAGATCACATTTTTGTTTGTCATACATTTAGGGGAAGTCTGCACAGCAGCGTTATTTCAGAATAACTGACTTTATTTCAAAATATCAACATGCGCATTTCAACAGCGAGCCGTTATTTTGAAATAATGTCGCACTGGAGGGCCGTGTCTCTTGTGGCGGTGGTTTGCTAGGCCAGTGTGGACACCCCGGGCATTAGAGGGGTGGGATCCGATTTACTGCGCAGTCATGGGCCAGGGTGGGCAAGGCTGAGCTGGTTATTGCGAAGGCCACGAAGAGATTTACGTGTCCTCGGAACACGTGTCCTGAACTCAAACGGGTTCTCTACCCTGGCCGAGGGACAGCGCTGCAAAGTGCCGGGCAGCGTTCCCTCTAAGGTGTGCACCTGTGCAGCCACACACAAAAAATTCTCCACCCGCCCCACCTCCTCTGCAGAGATAAGTGGCACACGGTCTGGCAGGCGGGCCCTGCTGTGTCCTCGTGGTGGGGGGTAGCGGGAAACAGGGCCTGGCCCAGAGACTGGGGCCTGCAGTGTG